CCCCCAAGAAAACCCCAAAACCAAAACAAAAAAAAAAAAAAAAAAAAAAAAGGTGTTTAAAATGCAGACACTGTGGCCTGCAAATGATTTTGTGTCTCCTGACATGAGGAGACCCAGCTGCATGGTGGCCCGGCCGGGATCCGGGCTGGATGCAGCAGCACGACTGGCAGCCATTTTAAGGAAGCCTGGGAGAGAGAAGAGCTGCAGTTGCACAGATCATGCCTGAATGCCTTGAATTAGAACAGTTGGGGGTTTTTTTGTTCAAGGAGGAGAGGGTTTTCATTGCCTGCTCTGGGGGAAAAAGGATCATGAACTTGCCTGTGGCCATGGGAGTCGATTGTGCCACACCAAGGTTTTTCTTAGCTACATAAAGGGCAGATTCTCCTGTGTCCATTTCAGGTGTGATCATCCCTCAATTACAGCACTAACCTGTTCCTAATTACCATTATTTTTTTTTTACTCTAACACCAGATTTAAAAGCCCCACTGAGGTTCATCCAAAAGATCCTCCCTTCCCATAACTTGTTGTTCCTTTCCTAGAGGAGCACTATTCCCAGAGCATCAGCTGCATGAAGTGCTGGAAACCCCAAACAGACCACAAACCCAAGTGCTGCTGGAGGAGAACCCAAGTGGAATTTAGGAAAGAGATAGTAAGAGCTGCCCCAGTGACCCTCAGCAGAAGAGCAAACAAAACCCCATGGGGTTTCAACTTACCTTTTCTGGAGGGAAGGTCACGAGCAGAATTTCAATGCTATTTTATAAAACACAGGGGGGGAAAAACCATGAAGAACAAACATTGACAAAAGCAGTATTTCACAGAGTATGTTCCAAATGCTTCAGTGGATGCATTTGAACTAACACACCTTTCTATCCAAAGCCTTATTCCAGCTGTCATGTTTTGTTTTTGGGACTTGGACCACATCACAACCAAGGCCCTGCACAACTTCCCAGCAGTGAGAGCAAACTGAACTCCCACTCTAACCCAGTGTTTCCTCTCAGCAGAAAGCAGCACAAAACTCACACCGACCATAGAAATGTACCAGTTTTATTACAAAGATTCTCAAAATCCAAAATAAAAGCATCTTTAAAAAACCACAATATATTTCCCACCCCCCAGACACAAAGATACACTGATCTCTCTCGCTTCACATACAAACACTGAAGGGCAGGAGTTAAACACATCACTCAGATCCAAAGAGACTAAAAAACTCCGGGTGGAAAATGGGGGGAGAAGAAGGGGAAAAAAAAAAAAAAAAAATTAAAAAAATAAAACATTTTTAAAATAACCTGTGTTAAGTTAGCAGCATTATTAGAGTTGAAACCATCAGCAGCACTCCAGTGAGAGGTACAGATCCTCTTATGGACTGAGGAATCCCCCTGAGAAAGGAGAGCAGCGAGTCCAAACTGCCTGCAAAACTTCTGCAAAGCCTTTCACCAAAAAAGCTCATCTACTGATTAGCTGTCCAAAAAAACCACCCCAACACAACACAAACCAACAAGATGCAAAAGAAGGGCCAGTTCTGGTCACAAAAGACTTTTGGGTGTGAGATAATGCGTGGGAGCAGGAAGAGGAGTAGGTATAAAAATGTACAGAGCCCCATCTGCTGTTCTCTTCTAAAGATAACAGCTCAGAGGGCTGATAAAAAGGTTCTCCATGTTTACTGGCCTTGGGAGCAGGGAAGAAAGGTTCAGTCTGAAAACATTTGTACTGCAAGAGTTTCTTAGTGAGGAGACACATGGACAAGAGGTTTCAGCCAGGGTCTGGGACAAGCTGGGAATTTCTGCAGTGGTTTCAGCCTAGGATACAGCTCAGTACTGAGAAACCACATCATGTGTAGCTGAGGGGAGAACAGGAAAAGCAAAGCAGCAGCCAAAGGGGCAGTAACTCACTTTCCCCTGCACAGAGGGGCACAGACATAGGTAAAAGGGTATAAAAATGTCATCCCTTCTCTTACATGACATGCAGAATGCTGCCATGCTGACTGGATCTGCAGGATCTTGGAAAAGGTTCCACCACCATCAGGGTGGTTTTCATTTTGTCTTTTCCAGATCTGCACCTGCAGGGCTCTGGGGCTGATTCACCAAAGCACTTTTCAGATGTTTTTTCAGCTGCTTCATCTCTTCCCACCAGGTTGCTGCAGGGAGGTAGCCAACTCTATTCAAGAACTGCACTATTTGACCCTGAGAAGTGGCACCAGCTTGCAGTGAACTTGCCACAGTGGAATCAAAACTGAAGACCAAAGGAACAGTCAGTCTCTCACAGGCTTCATTGGGGAACTCATTCTCCCCCACAAAATAAAAAAAAAAGAAAAAGAAAAAAAAAAACCTCATGGCCAGCTTTCCATCTAACCTGAACTGCAGACACTACTTCTACTTAAATTATTCTTTTCCAAGGGTGGTTATTTCAGAGGGGAGAGTAAAGAAAGGAAGTGATTTTTGTTTTTTAAAGACACACTAAGGAGGCAGTGGAAGGCAAGAGTGAAACTTCCCAGTCACCAAATCTGGGCAGTGCAGGTCTGACTACTCCACAGAATCCTCCCTACCTGCTCCCAGTGGAGTGCAGCAAGGAATAATTTACAGTTCTCAAGTCATTTATATATTTATATAGAAATATATACAGAAACATATATAAAATATAAATCCTGTGGAATGGGAGGCAACCAGAGAAGCTAACCTATGACAACTACACACTGACAAGGACTGTCCAGCAGCAGCCATCTTAGGTGGATTTTGTCTCTTCCTTCACCCTGTGGAAGCAAACAGTGAAGAATTTGGTTGAAACCAGCAACCTGGGCTGTGCCCAAGCTTCAACAACAAGCCAGAGCCACAGTCTTTAAAAAATGCTGCTTCTATGACCCAATTTCATCTAAAACTTGTCACTTTTTCCTGTTAAGAGCTTGTGACAAAGCCATCCAAACAATCACCTCTCCCTCCAACCCCTCAAGATCCCTCTGGGGGTATGGGTAGGTGCCCAAGGGAGCTCAGGCACAGCCATTTGAGGGCTCACCCTTTGGGTTCTGCTTTCTCCTCTTTTGCTTTTTCCTCTTCTTTCTCATCTAGGAGAAAAAAAACCAACAAACAAACCACCAGACACACAGCAGTGTAGCAGGAAAACACACACCAGAGCTAGGAGGGCTCCTGGTCCTGGCTCTCATGCTTACCTTTCTTCTCCTCTTCCTCCTTTTCCTCTTCTGTTTTCACACGCTTGGCTTTCTTGAAGTTGGCCACGTTCTTGCGCCCTCCTTCCCCCTCATCCTCAGAGTCAGAGAATTCCTCATCACAGGATATTCTCTTGTCGGAGTTGCGGACTGAGTGTGAAGAGGACAAGAGGTTGTTTGAACAGATTTCCAAGTCAGGAGACACCAAACACCAACTTCAACTCCACCTACTCACTGGGAGGAGCTAATGGGCCTCTTCAGGTCAGAATGAGGCCACAATAAAAACACTTTCTACCTTCTTTTCACTCCTCACTCCTCAGCTGCTCCTGCCCACGATCCAAGACCACATGTAAGACTTGGATGAGGTACAATGGGATGTCTAGACTTGACAGCAGAAGCAGGTTAACCAGCCTCACACAGAGCAAATCTGGCTGCCAGATCTAAAGGCCACCAGTCAATCTGGAGAGAAATTAGCATTTTCACTGCAGAAGACAACTTCTGGGATCAAACCTGACAGTCTCCCAGCATATTCCTCTATCATAGCACCTACATCACAGGACCTGTTTAAATCCTCACAACAGAGCCCAGGTTCTCCCATTATGGAAATCATCTGGCAAAGGTGCCATTTCTCCAAGGAAAAAGAAATCTGTCAGCTCTGCAGTGCTCAGCAACATTGCTTGAGCTCACCAGCCCCATCAGAAAGGTGGGAACAGATTCAAACTGAAGGAATCCAGACAAACATGCTCCTCTTCTTACTAAGGAAAAGCAGTTTAGAGTCTGCACCCCTCTCCAGCTAACAGACTGAGAGATGGGGTGTTCAGCCTGGAGAAGAGAAGGCTCCAGGGAGACCTTAGAGCACCTTCCAGTGCCTGAAGAGGCTCCAGAAAAGCTGGGGAGGGGCTTGGGACAAGGGCAGGGAAGGAGAGGACAAGGGGGGATGGATGAAAACTGGAAGAGGGAGATTTAGGTGAGACATGGAGAAGAAATTCCTTAGTGTGAGGGTGGTGAGACCCTGGCCCAGGTTGCCCAGGGAAGCTGTGGCTGCCCCATCCCTGGCAGTGTTGAAGGGCAGGTTGGATGCGGCTTGGAGCAGCCTGGGCTGGTGGGAGGTGTCCCTGCCCATGCAGGGATCTAGATGAACTTTAGGGTCTCTTCCAACCCCAACCATTCTATGAATCGAACCTAACTGGCCCTGCCCTGGTTTGCCCCCACAGGCTCTGAGCAGCTCAACACTCCCCAGCCAGGCAAGGCAGCTGGGCCAGAGCCCAGCACGTACTTGAAATGCGTTTCTCAGGATCTTCTTCCTCTTCATCTCCACTGTCTTCCTGAACAGCATCCTCAGGGATTGGCTGCATCTGGACACCGGGGGCGTGGGGCAACATGCGCAGATTCTCAAAGAGACGCTGCCTAGAGCCAGGAGGAAGAGACCCCGTCAGCAAAGGGGCCTCCCATGGGTGTGGAGACCCCAGCAGGAGGTCTCAGCCTCACCAAGAGGAACAAACACTCACTTGATCTTCTCAAGATACTCATTGGTGTTCTGGTTGGTCATGTTCGAGGGGCTGATGTGGAGCTTAAAGTCTGGTCCAAAGTACTCAAAATAGTCATTGTATGGAAGTTCTGCAGGCAAGTTAGAGATGGAATAAACACCAAATTACCACTGGGCTGGTGACAAAATGCCACAAACCCCTTGTGTGAAAAGCACAAGTGCCTTTCCCAGGGGACAGGAGCTGAAGCTCTCCCAGCCTCAATTTAGAACCAAGAAGACAACTTAGTGCAGTCACTTGGCAGTTAAACACTATTAGTGCACACAAGTTGTCAGTAGGTCATCTCATTTCAGGGAGACAGCAAAGCTGGGTCCCTTTTGTTGGAGGGGAAGAGCTACAGGACTAGAATGCAAACAAGAGCAGCTACTGCAAATCAGGGCACCCAAAAGCTCTTCCACAGTAATAACCAAGAGCTAATGAAACATTATTGTTGCTACTTCTCCTGCAGCAACATCATTTCCCTGAGCTCTGTTTCTAGTGTGTCACTGTCCCTCAGTCCTGCTCCAAAGGCTCCAGGGGAGAATTACCATTGGGAATTTCAGTGTCCAAAGCCACAGCAGTCTCATAGGTCCAGCACCTGGCCACGTTGCGGATGGTGTAGCCACCTCCTCCCAGCATCAGCATGGGCAAATTAAAACTTTTTACAAACTCCACACACTTGGCATGACCTGCAGCAAAAGCAGTGGGGGAAAAAAAAAGAAAGGGTCACAGCCTCAAAGCATATGAAGAACAAATTTTGGCATGAAATCTAATGATATTATGTCTGGTAGTTTGGCCCTGGCACAGCAAGGCACTCTTACCTTTGATGGTCAGGTTAAAACAACCCAGCCTGTCCCCTGACAGAGAATCTGACCCACACTGCAAGACAACTGCACTAGGCTGGAATGTCTCCATCACTTTTGAGATCACCTAAAAAAGAAACCTGTTGTTACAGACTCTCCACAGGACAGTGTCACAGCCACACAGCACTGGCCACGTCAGCCAGTGACACCAAGACACCCCTGGTGTTCCCACAGCTGCTGACTCCCCATCACTGGTAACAGTGAGGCTCTCACAAAGAGAAGCTTGCTGATGACAGGCTGCAATTGTGAGGGAGGAATAGAGCCCCTGAAGAATCTTATCACAGAAGACTGAATCAATCTCCAACAGCTCCATGAGCCACCCAGTGACAAAGTATCATCCCCAAGGAATCACTCAAAGACAAGTTCACTTACTGGCTTGAATATTGCTTCATAGGACTCATCATCAATTCCATCCCGCAGGGGGTAGTTGACAGCGTAGTACTTGCCTTTGCCTGCACCAATGTCCTGTTGGAGACAAGGAGAGACCACAAGTCAGCACAGAACCAGCTGCAGCACATTAAGTGTGCTCAAAATCAGGCAGGGAAGTCTGGGATTCCATCAGTGTAACCTGCATGTCAGCCCAGGCTCTCACTGGCAAACACTGGGCTGGCAGAAGAGCCACCTGACTCCCAGGTAGCTGCATTTCACCCTCAGGGCTCAGGGGAGAAAAATCCACCACTGTCATCACTTCCATGTTGCTGTGAGCACACAGGCTCTCAGTTCCCTGGCAAAAGTCACTCTCCTACACAGCAACAAAACTGGCAGCTAAAATTCTAGTTCCAAACCTGTACACTCTGCAGAGATGCACAGCCCAAAATACCAGTTTGGGCTGACCGTGCAGTCTGGTACTGGAGGATTCTGCTTCAAAACAATAGACACATTTTTACATTGCCATTATCTCTCTCATACTCAAGTGTTTTATGAAAAAAATAATTTCATTTATGCACCATGAAAGAATGCTGCAGCTGCATCCCAATTCACATAACCAGCGTCAAACTCTGGGCTGAAAAAAACCCCAACTCACAAGAGGATTTGGATCAGAAAAATGTAACTTCACTAAAAATCACATTAAAAAAAAAAAAAAAAAAAAAAAGAACTTTTTCACC